GACAGTATACAAGATTTTAGTCTGACTATACACACACACACACACACACACACACACACACACACACTAGGAAAAAAGACAGGAAAATATAAGATCTGAAAGTTTAGAACAAGAGATCCAATATCATCGAGGATACCTGAAGGATCCAATTAGTTTAGTTGCCTATATTTCATTATTTGTCTTTTTGTAACTATATGGATTTAGTATGTTTCTTTTTATTTTGATTGCAGAACATTTTTCTTATGACCTGAAGATGACCACAGTTGGGAACCAAGCAGGAGTGGAAAAAATCGAGAGAAATGCATACACTTTACCTCGTTTTTAAGAAACATGTCAATTTGATTGTGGTATTCCTTCAGCTCTTCATCAGAATGCCTGGAACAAACATTGGACACAAGTTTTCAGCGTATTATTTTAAGATTAAGGACAAATATGGTTTGCTTAAATGAGTAGCAGAGGGCTTGAATCACAAAGGCTGTTAAAAACACAAAGTTACCTTGCAATATTCTCTCTAAAAGTCTTTTCTGATTGACAGATGTATTTTGTTATGTGTGTAGGTGTCCTATCATCTTCTTCCTAGTAATAAGAAAATACTGTTTATTCAATCTGGTTGCCACAATTTTCCTTAGTTTCCATTACCATGAGGACATCTCTCCACCTAATCTCTCTCAGGCGCTTGAGTTACTTTTGGACCGAGTTAACAGAAAAAGATAACCTATTTTCTGTCCAGCTGGTTTTCCACATTAGAGTTATAAATAAATAAAAAAGAATCTTAGATTGAGAATGAGATGCAGAGACTGATATACAGAACACCCAAGCCAAAAACATTAAAAAAAAAAAATGGTGTCCAGTTGAGTTCCTAATTCCTTATTTAGTCATTTCAATGACCTGATTTAAGAGGTACCCAGCAGTGTCTATTGATTTAATCCGCCTTTCATTGCATTTAAATAGCATCTTCCATCTAAAACCCTTAAAGTAGTCTGAATGCCTCAACATGCTTTTGAAGTAGGAAACTATCCTCATTTTACTGATTGAGCCACTGTTTCAATTTACCAAAGTCACATAGGAAACCAATTTTTCAACCCTGTCTTAGTCATAATACCATTACTTCTTGCTTCTATAGGCACAAGTGAAAAATAACAGGACATTTTTGCAACCAGTTTTTCCATGACAATACTTGACTCGAGGTTAAGATCTGCAGTTCACAAGAGCCATATTAATATTCATTTATTCACTATCTACTGTTCATGAAATTCTGCAATCCTAGTTTCTCTTTGCTTGGTTTCTGTAAATATCAAATCAAGCCAATTCAACAGCATTTATATTTGTGATAAATACAGTGCAAAACAAAAGGCTTTCTAACCTGGGGAATGGGCATGTGGGGGATAGGAGGGTAGAAATCAGGGCAGGAGAAGATGGCAAGTGAAAGAAGGCCACTTAACCCCTTACAAACCATCTTGAATTCTCTCAACTCATAGGGGAGCTACACACAGTACAAGGAGTATTATTAGCTTATTTAAAGTGATGCATAACTGAATGGATTAACAATTGGTTATTCATGTAATTAATTTATATAAATCTCAACACTAACCATGACAAAATCTGATATAATTTTATTTACTTAAGCTCCTACAGGGGAAGTGAGAGTTAAAGAGCTCTGTAAACCTTTGATAGCTTTTTACCTTCCTCAGAAAACCCCCCACGTTCAGCCAAAGCAGCTGGATATCTTAATAAAATCTGAAGTTCACGTGTACTTACTGTTCGTGCCAGATCTCTGCACACTACAGTATGGCTCAAGAGCTGCAGTTTAATCTCTGCATCCCATTTTCGACAGTTCTGAATGTACTCATGACTCCCTACACAGTGTTTGCTGTTAAAATAAATACTTTAGTTACCCACAGTTTCAAAACTTGCCCATTTTCATGCAGCTGAAGTATTCAAAGCAATCCTGCTTTGAACACCTCTTATATCTGTACTCTCAAAAAAAAAAAGGCTTTGGAAAATCTAGGTTTTAAGCTTCTGAATCCAGCTTTCAGTCCTGCAAAAAAAATATTTGAATTAAGCCATACTACACTTAAAATTATGCATAGGTTCTGTAATAGGATAAGCAGTGTTCAAGTACAATGGCTTACAAAACTCTAGTAGTATAAACCGTTATAACCACAAAATTCCAAAATTAACTAAACAGCATTAATCAAAGCAGCCAGTTTTGTTTTGTTGGTTTTTGGGGGGAGGAGAGGGGGTGTTTGTTTGTTTTTTGTTTTTTTTTTTTTTTTT